CGATGCGGCGGAGCAGAAGGCGTACTCGCTCACGGCGAAGATTCACGATCTAGAGCAGGAGAGGGAGGAGTTTATGAGCAGGATTGCCGAGTTGGAGAGAGAGGTCGGAGAGAGGGATGAGATGATTGGGTTCATGTCGAGGAGAGGGATTGAGGAGGAAGAAGGGGAGGAATCTACGGCCGGTTACGCGACGGCGGAGCGGTACGGCACGGACCGGCTTGGGGTAGCTACCCCGCCACCGCCGCCGCCGTACGGAATCAATCGGAGCTCCGATATCTTGCCACCTCTCGTTCCCTCAGCAAATCGGTTTTGGACGGAATCGGCCACTAATTCTTGCCAGGTTTTTCATTATACACTTGATTTTGTTAGGCAATTTGTTATCGTATTATCAATTAACTATTTCTAGTGATCTAATCTGGGTTTCTCTCTTAATAAGCGTTCATGGAGGAGATGATTGAATTGCTGTTCTTACACTCATGTCTGAAGCCTGTTCTTCGCATGATATGTGATAGTTTTACGAGGTTACATTAGCCGAATTCTTGCTTGTTTTGTACCTATAACCATACTTTTTTTTGTTAAAGTACCTATAACCATACTTAGCGGCAACTTGATGCTTCTTCTGGATTTTCTCCTTGATTGTTTTCAACAATGAGCTATTGTAGGAGTTGGATCCCCATTGTTCATGAAGTTTGCTTGATCTTTATTACCCTGAGATGGGGTTGAGCAGATTTTGTTGAATTCTTGCAGGATTTAGAGTACGAATCCCTTGAATCTGTATACCGAATGAAGCATTTTGTTCCAAGGTAAACTGGAAACCACACATAGCATCTGATTCTATCACACAAGATTCTTAAACTTTGACATTGATGGAAGGGGCAATGTACTTTGATTGGCAGGAGAGAATCTCCTTGGAAGATTGACAGCGAATCTACGGGGATTTCTGAAAAATTGAGGTTACTCGAAGAGGAGCTACTGAATCTGGAAAAAGTTAGCGAGAGTGACCTTCCCAAAGTGCCATTGCTGCTAAGGAAGCAGGCCAAGAGGTATCAATCTCTGGCCGGGAAGATTGATGGCCTATGCCGAAGAATGGTACCTTCTCCTCTCTTCAGCTCATATAGAATCTGCTATACAGTATCAGATGTGTTATCATTATATTTGTTTATGTGTATGTTTTAATTGTGTTACCGGAATTTGCTCGAATTGTGTATAGTTTCTACTGTATACCCTCGAACTGTGTTATCGGAATTTGCTCGGCATCTATGTTCGATAGGTTCATTCATCCGCGATAAGTGTCTGAAAGAAACGGGTATCTTTCCCGAGAGCTGACGCATTCTCTACTTTCCCGCACTTGCAGCAGGGTAGCGATCCGTGCGATCCGACCCTAAGTCCCGAGTTCAGGACGCAAAGACAGACAGAGTTTCTGCTCGAATGCTTCAGACTCCAGCAGAGGGCTTCGGAAACCGGGCAAAAGCTGGTAACTTTACAAACCGAAATCACAAAGAGCTACCACGGATTTCAACTGAGCCAGACCAAGCTGACCGCGAGAAGAACCTTGGACTTGATCAAGAACAACTTGAAGCATGTCCAGAGGAACCTCGAGATATGGCTCGCCAGAATCATCGGAGATCTCGAAGGGATTCTTGCCCGAGACGGGGCCTCTCGTGTTAGAGAATTCTACATTTCACGGTACCCTTTTGTGCAGTAGAGAACGGTAACTCTAATAGCTCACTTCAATACTCTGTTGGATTTTGTCTAGAAAAAGCTTAAACTCCTCTGTAAAATACTCATAAAAATGTGGAAGCAGTATGATATTAGGGTTTGGGTTAGAATTTGATCAAACTTGCCATTTGAAATGATAATGGCTTGGGCTTGCCATGAACCATTTTGAACTGAACAGGTCCACTGTTAGGATATCTAACGGTAACGGAGATATGGTACTTCCTTCGGTTTCGGTTCGGTTATATTTGGGTTCAATTATTTCAATTTAAAAAAACTATAATCATTCGGTTTGATTAGATTCTATTTATGGTTCTGGTTAGGTTTTGGATTCTATTTCTATTAAAAAAAATATTCATTTTTCAAATAAAATATCGATTTTTTCGGTTATTTTTTTGTCTGAATTAATTTTTTTCGGTTTTGTAGGAATTATAATCATTCAATTTTTCAATTATGGTTATATATTATAAGGTTTAAATTGATTCAGTTATTTGGTTATTAAGAAATTAGTGCGAGGAGATAATCACCTCAAATGTTGAAAAGGAAATCATGAGGAATGTTGGGGCCTTAAAGTTAACGAAAAGGAATGTTGGGGCCTAAAATGAAAATATCATAACTTTCTGCGCCAAAATCGAATTTGGGGAAAATTAGGAGATAGTGGGTTTGGGTTGGGCCTGTATTTCACAAAATTGTAAATATGTTTGGGCCATGGAAGCCATATCCGAAGGGGAAAAAGGACGATCATAAAAATTAAATAAAAAAATCATAAAAAAAGGAAAAATTAGAATAAAACGAAAACGGAAGAATGGTGAAAACCCCTTTTGAATTTTCAAATTAAAGAAAAAAATCGATCAGGTGTTTGATTTTCCCCTTAACTTTGAATATTTGAAAACCAAAACGTTCCGATTCTTGTCCAGTTCGTGTATCGGATCTGTAGCTCGTAGCTCGAACAGGGAATATATATATATCCCCAAGCAATCGCCGCCGCCGCCGCCGTTGCCGTCAGTGTCACCGCCGGTCGGAGCAAAATTTCCGGCGTAGTACCCGGAATGGTATTCCGAACTCATCTGGTGAGTTTCTAAGTCTTTACATCTACCTCTCTCTTTTTCCCTCTTCGATTCTCCGGCCACCAATTTCTCTGGGTCTATGCTGACTTTAATCCATTTCGAGGCTTTTGATTGTTTATCGGCTTATCCGGGATAGCGACATTGAAATTGTTCTGGTCTGTGTTGACCCAGTTGATTAATCCGATACGTAAGTCGATTTGGCCAATGCCCTTGTTTGGATTAGCCTCCAATCTGATCAAGGAATTTCAAGCTTGCCCATTTTGTTTGTTTTGATTAACTTTTGAGCTTCATTAGATTACGTTAGTGAAGGCCACAGATTTCTTGTTCTCTTTCAGTTTTGGGTCTAATGTCTTAGATATTGGAAACGAGGACTCGGTTTACTATGTTGGAGAAGTCATATATGCATTTTATGGGTTTTTTCCTTCAGGTTGTAGCTCATTGATCGAAGCACATTTATCTGAGGATTTGCCTACATGTCTCTCTTGAGTAGATTCTTCTACAAGAGGCCACCGGATGGCTTGCTTGAGTTTGCTGATAGAGTTTATGGTAATGCCATTCCTTTTCTAATCACGAATACGAGATCCAATTCCACTCCATCGATTTTCTTTTAAATTTGGTGTATGCCCACGTCTTATCGAAAACTTGTTTCTTTGTTTTTACTGGGCAGTGTTTGATTCATGTTTTTGCACCGAGGTCTTACCGGATGGATTATACCAAATATACTTGCATGAGATAATCAATGATTTACATGAAGAATTTCCGGAGTCCTCCTTCCTAGCGTTCAATTTCCGGGAGGGGGAGAAAAGAAGCCTGTTAGCGGAAATCCTCTGTGAATATGATGTCACTGTTCTGGAATATCCACGGCAGTATGAGGGTTGCCCTTTGCTCCCGTTATCACTGATCCAGCATTTTCTTCGGGTTTGTGAGAGTTGGCTTGCTCGTGGGAATCGCCAGGATGTGATTCTTCTTCATTGTGAGAGAGGAGGGTGGCCTCTTTTGGCTTTTGTTCTGGCTAGCTTACTGGTTTTCAGAAAAGCTCACAGCGGTGAACGTAGAACGCTTGAAATTGTTCATCGAGAAGCTCCTAAGGGTCTTTTGCAGCTGCTCTCACCTTTGAATCCGTTCCCTTCTCAACTTCGTTATCTTCAATATGTAGCAAGAAGAAACATATCTCCTGAGTGGCCTCCTCCTGAAAGAGCTCTTTCTTTGGACTGCGTGATTCTCCGAGCTGTCCCAAGCTTTGATCCGCAACAAGGGTGCAGGCCAGTTATCCGTATTTTCGGAAGGAATTCTCAAAGTACATCTGGCCTTTCTACCGAGCTGCTGTATTCCATGTCCAAGAAGAAAAAAGCCCTTAGGCATTACCGGCAAGTGAGTGATATCTTTGTGTTTCTCTCAAGTGCAGTAATGGTTTCTTCTACTCTTTCTCTGAAATTATACTCTCCTGAGTTGTGGAACTCTTACCTTCTTGCTGTAGGCTGAATGTGACGTGATCAAAATTGACCTCCAGTGTTGGGTTCAAGGTGATGTTGTGCTGGAGTGTGTCCATTTGGATTTAGATCCCGAGCGAGAGGTTATGATGTTTCGTGTGATGTTCAGTACTGCGTTTATCAGGTCCAACATATTAGTGCTAAACTCAGATAATTTGGATATTCTTTGGGAGGCAAAGGACTGTTATCCAAAAGGATTTCGAGCAGAGGTAAGTGTTTTCTTAGCCCTATCTTTGAATCGTTTACGAATTTAATTTTGTTAATATGAGAAAAAGTGGGAGTAAAGTGGAGAAACAGAAAAAAAAAATTCTTTATCTTGAATAGGTGCAAAAAGCGGATGGTCCATCTTCTAGATATTTACTTCTCAATCCATCCTGGGATATACTTGCACTTGCATCTGACTGTGTAGTTTACACATTCAGGTTTTATTTGGAGATGCTGAGAATGTCTCACCTCAGAAAGCTCCAACTCCTATTGTAAATGGCGATGAGACTGGTGGATTGCCCATGGAAGCCTTTTCTCGGGTTCAAGAGCTTTTCAGTGGTGTGGATTGGGCTGATAGCAATGATGATACTGCCTTGTGGTTGCTGAAACAACTTTCTGTCATAAGTGATGCAAAAGAATTTACAAGATTTCGACACAAGGGGAGTTTCTATCTGAATTCTCCTGCTGATTCTGAAGAGGAAACCAATACATCTAGTGCTGCTGATAGTTCAGATGAAGGATATGATGTCGTTCAGCGACCTACTATTCCAATATCTTTTGAAACTGATGAGCCAAATGATATAAACTTTCCTCCTGAATCACCTGAAGAAACTCATGGATTCACTCTTCATCAGCAGCGAGAGACATTGGATTCTTCAACTCCAGTGCCCTCCATTGCTCACATCGCAGCTCCACCTCCACCTCCGCCTCCGCCTCCGCCTCCAGTTTCAAATTCCATTACGAGAGGAGAGCCATTAGATTCTGCTTCATCACCAATGTCCCCACCACCGCCGCCTCCACCTCCTCCTCCATCTTATAACTCTTCCAGTACTCCAACAACAGTTCCTCCTCCTCCACCCCCGCCTCCGCCTCTGTTTGCCACTGATAAAGTTATCCTCCACCTCCGCCTCCGCCTCCGCCTCCAGTTTCAAATTCCATTACGAGAGGAGAGCCATTAGATTCTGCTTCATCACCAATGTCCCCACCACCGCCGCCTCCACCTCCTCCTCCATCTTATAACTCTTCCAGTACTCCAACAACAGTTCCTCCTCCTCCACCCCCGCCTCCGCCTCTGTTTGCCACTGATAAAGTTATTGCCACATTACCATCTTCTACGAATGGGGCTCCTCCACCAAGACCACCGCCACCCCCTCCTCTACCCAGTTTTGGCAATAGAGATTCTGTGACGACATCACATTTATCTATGAACAGAATTCCACCACCGCCACCACCTCCTCCACCTTCTGCCTCCAGCAATAGAGCTCCACCACCGCCCCCCGGAGGAAACAAACTTCAGGCCCAACCACCTCCTCCGCCACCTCCTCCCCCACTTCTGGGCCGTCCATCTCCATCCGTTGGAGGGGCACCACCTCCTCCGCCACCTCCTCCACCACTTCTGGGTCGGCCATCTCCATCTGCTGGAGTTGCGCCGCCGCCGCCACCACCACCCCCACCATCTGCATCTCATTCTGGTCAAGCACGTGTTAGCCCTCCTTCAGCACCTCCACCCCCACCTCCACCTCCAAGGGCTAATATTTCGAGTGCACCAAAGCCACCACCACCACCTCCTCCTCTGCTTGCTTCTGGACCCAAAAGGCCTGGTGCACCTCCTCCACCCCCACCACCAGTATCCAAGGCCCCTTCTCCTCCTCCTCCACCGGGGTCGGGTCGTGGTACAGTGAGTGGTCCTCCACCACCACCTGGAGGGAAAGGTTCAAGTGCACCTCCACCCCCACCTCTTGCAGGAAGGGGTAGAGCTTCTGCGGGACTTGGAAGAGGTCGTGGTGCGAGTGCTCCAGCTACTGCACCTAAGAAAACTATGCTGAAGCCTTTGCATTGGGTCAAAGTTACTCGAGCTGCACAAGGTAGTCTCTGGGATGATACTCAGAAGCAAGAAGATCAATCACGGTGGGTTCCTCTAAAACTTTTCTCCATTTACCTTATATGTCAAAGATACTAATACACTGGCTGAAAATTATGATACAAACTATATATGACTTTCCTGTTCTGTCGGATAGTTTATCTTCTTTTCCTTGCTTGCTGTTTTTTTTTTGGAGTAATCCATATTTTTCTCAAATCTTTATTTCAGGGCCCCTGAAATAGACATATCGGAGCTTGAGAGTCTTTTTTCTGCAGCTTCTGTAGATACTGCTTCTAACAAAACTGCAGGTCGCCGAAGTTCTAGTATCAGCAAACCTGAGAAAGTTCAACTGGTGAGTCAGTTAGGTCCTTTTTTGGATACATCTTAGCATTTAGTATATGCAAAAGTCAATTTTGTAAATACCAAATAATGTGAAGAGTGTAACATACTAAAAAGGCAGCTGTCATCTTCAGCTTTGTGATATGCTCTAGCCAGATATTCTTTTGATTGATTCATATCTTTGCCACACTAATTATTGCCATCGGATTTTAACAATTTACGGATTCTTCAAACTCTATTGAATCTCACTAATGGGTATTCTGCAACTATATTAGCATGTGTTATATCTCTAACTGCGTTTCTTTATTTGTTTTTCCTTGTATGTACTTGCTTATTCTTTGAAGATGAAGCAACTGTTCTAAGGTCTAAATTTTGCTTGGGTTTTTGTGTCAGGTGGACCTGCGGAGAGCATATAACTGTGAGATAATGCTTACAAAAATAAAGATCCCTCTACCAGATATGATTGTAAGATATCCTTGGCAGTACATCACCAATCTTTTTTGCATTTAAAAGAAGAAATGTGATTATTGCTTACATATGATAAACGTAAAAAAGTTTTGTTCTTTTCTACATTTTTAATTTGACATCTGGTGCTCTCACCTGTCTTGTGCCCCGTGTTTCAAGATTTCTGGCGAACTGAGAGTTGCAATCTTTCTTTTTGTTATCCCAGAGCGCAGTTCTAGTTTTGGATTCTTCAGCTCTAGATATCGACCAGGTTGAAAATCTCATCAAATTTTGCCCAACAAAGGAAGAAATGGAAGTGCTGAGGGTGATCTCCTGCTACTTATTGTATTTGTACTGTTACACTATCCTTGGTTGAATGATGTTATTCGCCTATAAAATAAACTCAATCATATTTCTCGGTCAAAGATGGGTGATGTAGTCTTTATTCTTTTTATTTGCAAGTTCGGAATGACTTACCTTAAGCTGTTACTATTTTCAGAATTATACTGGTAACAAGGAAATGCTTGGGAAGTGTGAACAGGTTTACTCAAGTCCTGAAAGCTTTGGTTGCTTCTTGTTTTCTTGTTTCTGCTCTAACTGTTACCCTTGTGAATGGGCCAGTTCTTCATGGAACTAATGAAGGTTCCACGTGTAGAAGCCAAGTTACGAGTATTTGGCTTTAAGATTACCTTTGCTGCACAGGTAACCTTTCCGACCCTCTTGCTCTGCTTGCTCTTGCCGTAAGGATTGTGGTAATCAATAAATTTTACTCTCTTCTTCAGGTGGAAGATTTAAAAAGCAACCTCAATACTATCAATGCTGCTACTAAAGAGGTATACCAAGGGATGAAAAAAAAGCTTATATATCGTGCTAATATATCTCCATCTTTGTGATTAAGCTTCCACATTCATATATCAGGTCAAAGAGTCTGCAAAGTTGCGTCAGATTATGCAAACAATTTTAACACTGGGGAACGCTCTGAATCAGGGAACCGCAAGAGGTATAAAAAAAAAATCGTTCCTATTGAATTGTGTAGCCATCAAAAGCCAACCTGTTTTCTGCTTTCTCGCGCTTTGCTGATGTTATGCATGTTGCAGGTTCTGCTGTTGGGTTCAAACTGGATAGTCTACTTAAATTATCTGATACTCGTGCAAGAAACAACAAGATGACCTTGATGCATTATTTGTGCAAGGTAGAACCAAACTTGAATACGTTTGTCGATTGCTGCGTTTTTCAGAATCTATCTTTATGTTTGGAAATGTGACTCGTTCTTTCACATGTAGATGCTACTGTATGCAGATTTAAGAAATGACCTTAATGCCTTAAATCTTTTGTTACTGGTTTAGCTTCTCGCTGAAAAAATGCCCAACCTGCTGGATTTTGCAAAGGACCTTGTTCATTTGGAATCTGCCTCAAAGGTACTCTTGGCTGTTCCTTTTCGTCTTACTGGGAGTTAGATCATGCAACATGAATATACTCCCATGTGTCATTTTCATTTCTTGGTGCTGAAAATTGTAGATTCAATTGAAGACATTGGCTGAAGAAATGCAAGCGGTGAGTAAAGGCCTTGAAAAGGTTGATCAAGAACTCATGGCTTCAGAAAATGATGGTGCAATTTCTGTCGGCTTTAGGAAGGTGAGCTGAGGATGCATTCTCTTCAGTAGCTTGAATGTGAAATGTGATTTTAGTTTGGTTCTACTTGAAAACTATATCTGCATAACAACATCAACATCGCCTTAATCCCAAGTTTATTTGGGGTCGGTGGTGTTGAGAATGGGATATCTGCATACTGGAAAAAAAAACTTTATATCTCGGCTCGGGAAATATGCCATCCCCAGAATTTTCTGAAAACAAAATCTCTCTATATTTCAGGTATTGAAGAACTTTCTTGATACTGCTGAAGCTGAAGTGAGGTCGCTTATCTCCTTGTATACGGAAGTGGTGAGTCGTTATTTAGAAAACGTCGTTACAAATCAAATTTCATAATCCGGTCATAATATCTGTCTTATTATGCAATCCAGGGAAGAAATGCGGATTCATTGTCCCGGTATTTTGGGGAGGATCCAGCTCGTTGCCCTTTCGAGCAAGGTACTTTCTTACACTAGTTTCATTACTTGTAGATTGTTTGATAATCTTTACCATAAACACTTTGACCCACATCTGTTCTTGTCTTTGTCCCTGTCTGCAGTGACACAGATTCTGGCTGTTTTCATGAAAACCTTTAACAAATCTCGAGAAGAGAACGAAAGACAAGCAGAGGCCGAGAAGAAGAAGCTCGAGAAGGAAGCCATGAAAGAGAAAACAGCCGCAAAGAAAGAGGCTGTCGACAGTGAAATCAAGGGTAAGATCCATATCCAGAGACCTAAGCCATGAGAGAAAACCTCTAAAGAGCTCAAGGGCTTTAGGGTTTCGGATCGTTTCTTGGGACTGAAGCTACTTAAATGTATAGGTTTACACATAATGAATACTGAAGAGATCTTTCCATAGATTTGTCAGAAAGCTTAATCCTTTTAGGGTTCTTGGAGATGTAAGAGAATATGAATGATCTCTTTGTATCATGCTGCTTTATCAGTTGTCCTCATAGTTTTGTCTTCTTGTAGAAATTCCTCTCCACTGTTCTCACACACTTTTTTTTTTACCTTAAAAAATATTTCCTTAGGAAATATTCTTATTATTTTAATATTTTATACAAAACAAAATTTAGAACATTTTTTAGATATAAGTTATTGAAATTTATTATGATATTTTTACTGATGTTCTATTTTTTTAGCTACTAAAATTTATATCAGAATCTTAAACAAAAGTATTATTTTTTATGAAAAAATCCCATAAAAAATACGAAAACCAAAAAAATGATTAACTTTATTTTTTATCAAATAAATATTAAAATTTTTAAATAAATCTAAAAAAACACTGAACTTTTTAAATGATCCAAAAAATATATAAACTTTTCTGCTATTATAAAAAAAAACACTGAACTTTTTTTTGTGATCCAAAAAAATATATAATTTTTTTTCGATTGTAAAAAAAAACTAAGTAAAATAATCTGACATGTTTGCATCTTCTTGTACCACGTCAATCATTTTGTTTATTTTAACAATAGTAGAAGAGTTAAATGTTTGTTTTGTTAAACTTAAAAATTTTAATGTTTATTTGACAAAAAATAAAGTTTAGTATTTTTTTTGTTAAAATTTGAAAGTTGGGTGTTTTTTTAGATTTTTTCTTTTTTTATCTAATATTTTTCTAGATTCAATAATTCATAATATGCGATATTAGTTTGGATATATTTAGTAAAAAAAATAACTTACTTTTAATCTTAAAGTACATTTAAAAAAACATTGTAAAACATATTTTTAAAGGGCCGTTGTCGTGGTCTAATTTTTTATATTATATTTTTTCAACTTAAAACAGAATATATTTTTACGTGAAAAACATATAATATATAATCTGTATGTTTTTTTTACATTCTATTGCTACAATATAATAAATATATATAAATTTATTGAATAAGATTTATTAATTCATAGTGATTGATAAATATAAAAAATTTGAACCATTTATAAACATTTAGATTAATATTAACTTAATACTCAGAATATATTCGTATATAATTATAAAATATAAATATCACAGAATTTTATATGTAAAACGATTCTAATGAATTCATTTTTTTTTTATAAGAATCATTAATATAAATATCCATATATATATATATATATTGATAGTCCACAAGTTTTATCGAAAATAAATAGAAAATAGAACACAAGGTCACGAAATCTAAACTCTGCTTTTCCACGGAGAAAAACATGTCCACGCGCCAAATATGCCCAACTTGGCAAAAATGGTCGAAATCTGTGGACTATAGTCGGGAGTTTTTGGGGCGGTGGAGTCCACGCGCCACTGGTGCGCGTAGGCGTGGTAGTAAGTAATCTTCAATCCCCTGTGAAATTAGGGTTTATGGTTTTGGAAAAAAAACGCCGACTTGTCCCGCCATTTTTGTAGCTCAACCTCAATTCCGGTGAAATTAGGGCTCCACAGATCGATGAACATGGTGAAGAAGGAGATACAGAAGCTGTGGAGAGAAGTTAGAGAGTTGAGCTTGGGAACTGAAATCGATCGACTCGATTCTCCACCGACGCCGGTAGAGTTTCTCCTGCACTACGTCTCCAAGAACAAGCCCTGCATCATCTCCGGCGCGATTGATCACTGGCCGGCGATCAACCTCTGGTCGGATCCGGAATACCTCGCCGGAGCTCTGTCGAACGACGTCGTCTCGGTACACCTCACGCCCAACGGCCGCGCCGACGCCGTCACTCCTCTCTCCGTCGGCGATGGCGACGACGGAGATCTCTGCTTCTCCTCCGCTCACGTCGAGAAAATGCCGTTTCATGAGGCTCTTCAGGCCGTTCGATC